AAGAGTGTCCTCTCCTTTTCAACTGTATCTTTGTACCTTCTGAAAAATTGTTCTGCAAACAAGTAAAACTGCATCTGCAAAGCATGCACCAAGCGTATCAGTCTTAGTAACCATTGTTGGTTTTGAAAGCTATTAAAAAACTCCTCTGAAGAAACATCACATTCTAGCAAATACACAGAAAATTATAAACATCTGGAATTCTAGCTCTGCGCACTCTGCTTTTAGCAAAAGGCCCATTAATTCCCTGAAATCCTCCCTTCTCCTAGTGTTAGCTGAGGAGACCCAGATGTCTTCTTTTTTGCATCAGGAACATCGTCTGGACACAGACACATATCCTCCAAAAGCTGAAACAGTCAAGTCAGCTGGCGAGCCACACAAGTAGGCTATTCATGTATAGATATGTCTACAATGCTTAATCCTAGATGCCAACAGTTCCACTGTGAGAGGGATCATGTTTAGCAACAATGGAATAAAATTCAAAGAGGGAAGATACAGACAGATTTAATTATTCTTGCTTACGTACCCACAATTCAAGTCAGCCCTCTTTGATACAATTTGCATTTTTAGCAAGCTGCTACGTCCTATCCTCACTGAGTTCCCTACTAGCAAACACATTTAGAGCTATGTTCCTTGCTAAATAGAGTCTAACACCTTTCCCCCCCCCCTTTTTTGCAAGTCTTAACTTTACTATAAACCATTTAAAAACAAGGCTATACAAGAGACTCTCCCTTGGCAAGCAGTCTGGCCAGACCAAGTGTATGTTAAATCTGCAAAATGGTTTTGTAGCCGGGTTAAGCCAAGTATACTAGGCAGGGAACATCTATAAGCCTCTATTATAAGAAATTTATTTAAACCATCACTGAAATTACAAAAAAAAAAAAAAAAATTCAGGAGAAAATAAAAAGAGTTTCTGGCCTCATGACAACCAGCTGGGACAACTCTCACCAACTGACAGGGAGGGGAATCACCAGGAGCCTTGTGGTCCAAGTGCCAGACCTGCAGTGAACTGGGCAGAAACTCTGCTGTTCCCACCTGCACCACAGAGCCAAGGAGGTGAACAAGCAGCTTGTGAGGAGCTCAAAATAGTTGAGCCTCTGTAGTGGACGTGGGTAAAAGGTAAGGAAGGAAAGAGCCTGGGCGTTGTGCTCCACTAGTTTTCAAGGGAGTGATCTGTCATTGTCTTTTGCAACAGAAAATGAACTTCTCCACAGCTTTTTAGGAAAGCAGGGAGTGAAGCCATTGTTGGTATTCCCCTATTAAAGTCAGTTCTGCTTTAAAAATAAATTAAAGCCTCCAGAGAAATTCAGAACTTACTGCAAATGTTTATTTTCTCTTCAAAATCAATTAGACGGGAAGTTTTAAGCTAGCTCTACTTCAGCATCAGTTGCTAACTTAGGGCATACAAAGTCTTTAAGGTGCTTCTAACAACTCTGAGCTCAGTTTAGGCGGGAACATCAGCAGTTTTGAAAGAGATCTGTGGAAACTAATGGCAGTTTTACCTGTAAAGGGGAGAACCAAACAAAAACACTTCCTCAATGCTGAAAGGCAGAACTCATAGGATTACTATGAGTAATTACTATGAGGTGGTTTTGCTTAAATACCTTCCTTTTTGAGGCATCTCTTCCAAATTCTAATCCCCATACTGGAACACATATAGAAAACGCCTGTGAGCACAAACAGAACATTCATCACAGCCTGAGAGAGAGACAGTGTTCTCACCTTCAGCATTTCATTAAATTCTGGATTGGTGCTGTTACTTTTAATTTTGGTCTTGCGTTTACTTTGGCGGGATTTATCAGGTAGAAGGTAAGCTTTGACATATCTGCAGATCAAGTAGTAAATTATTAGCAAGGAATAAAAATGACCAGTTTGAGCAAGGATCTGACATTGCTGCATCAGCAACACGTAAGAGGAAATTAATTTTTGCAGTCTAAACAATGTATACATGGAACAGAGACTATGTGAAACATGGAAAGGTACAGTCTTTACCTACAAACATAGTCATGTTAGTCAGGTGGGATCAGAATAAGAAAAGGCAGAGCTAAATTAATTTACTTATTGTCAGAAATGCAGAAAGCTTTCCCTTTTGAAGTATACGATTACTGACTGGTTACATATGACAACACGTATACTGAAAATACAAGAGAAAGAAAAACTTCATACCTTACATATGATAGAAGTACACATGATTAGAGACACTAACTACTACTTCTTTACAAGAGAATTTACATATTATACTGAAAATTATAATGAGAAGCTCAGAAAACACGGTCCTTACAAAGTGAACCTATGGATGCATGAAACCAAAGTTATCTCTATCCCTCCCTCCAAAACATCACCCCTCTTATATACTTTAGTTTTGATTCTAGAAGTAAGAAATCAATTCCGCCTCCCTATTCCTTCAGATTTTTTTGCCTTTTAGTATCAAACAGGTTGATAATCTAAGTAGTCTTATTGTTTCCAAGAACAGGCACACGTTGCCCTTGAAAATGGGGAGTCGAAACTCAACCATCATCATGCAGCTCTGAAATAGAAAAACTTCTTGAAAACTGTGATTCCCAGTGTCCTTTTCCTCTTCTACACGGCTCCTATTTCTGCATCTTTTTGTTTGATAAATGTTTGAATCTTGCCCAGAAAGACTGTGCTCTTCAGAGTATCCTTGCTAAAAGAACATTAGGCCTTCACTGATCTCTGCTGAACTTCCATTCGCACTGTAGCCACCATCAGAATGCTGACTGGTAGCAACCAGATCCTATGAGTTTTCAGGCTCATATCACAACCCCAGGCTACGTCACTGACTACAGCGTGTGACATGGTGGACACCCCTAGTAGAGCCTAAAAGGAAATTCTTCTCTGCTTACGGATGGGTCCTTTGCTTCTTCTCATCTGCAACGGCCAGATTTCTGCAACTTTTCACCAAGATGTTGAGGGCACCTGTTTTGTAGCTGTAGTTGATGTTGAGAAGGATTTCACCACTGACCTTCACGTTGCCATAGTCACCAGTTTCACTATATACACTCAGCATGCTGTTAATGCTAGTCTGGAGGGGGAGAGAAAAAGGACTTAGAGGTTTAAACAATTTACTCTTTTCCAGAATCTGCTTTTTTTCATACAGCTACAGCCTTGCAATATTGTCACACTTCTTAGGACTTCCTAATGAAAACAGATATACCATAGAACAGAAATACCACAATTTCACGTAAAAGGGAATAAGAACTATAGTTAATAACGGCTTAAATGTCTAGACAGTTGATGTTTTTCCATGCAGGACTCAAATCTATTTATAAACATGACTAAATCTAAATTACCACCATTTAATTCATGCATGAACTGAAGAGCAGACAGGCTACATAAATTATAAGCTCACGTAAGTTCCAAGCAGAAAAAAATCACCTCTCTGGCTCAGCTGTCCACCTAATTTTTACTGAGTGTCATAAGACAACTGCTGACAGAGCCATTTAAAAAAGTTTTAAGCATGCTTCCCATAATGGAGATGGTATAAATCCATGTTTGTTTAAAGTGACCCTCGCCTCTGATTAGCAATTCTAAAAGAATGAGCCAAATTCATTACCCACCATTTCTGCAATTTTCCTAACGCCAAAAATGTTTAGCAATAATCCCACAAAGTTTTCCACTGCAACATAATATATCACCTCTCAATCTCTTTTCTTCACTCGTACCGCGCAGAGCATTGCTACGAGGATTTCCTCTTCCAAAAGATTACAATTAGGAAAGAACTAAATATTTTTAAAGAAAAACAGAGCAATATGCACAATGCCAGAACCAGAGGCATCCAAGAAATCTGGTGCATTCTTTCTTTTGAGTCATGGAGCGAGATTGCTCAGAAACATATAGAACCATCTAAATCCTAACACATAGGAACCTTGCAAGACACACAGGTAGTCTTCAACAAAAAGGGAGAAAAGAGAGAGAAACCTTAAAAAGTAAGCTAAGCAGAGGATTCAGGAGAACTCACAGTATCACCGTCTGTTTCAGGCACATTTAAATACATCCATTTTCTGTCAGAGCCTTCTGGGGAGTTCTTTAAAGAAGGCAGTGCAAAAGATCAAGAGAAAAGAGCATTAGAGAGCTGCAATAAGAAAGATTAAGTGCAATGATAAATCTTCACCTATACAGACAGGTAAAAGAAGTTCATATTGCAAAGCCGTAGCAAGAACGAAAGGAAAAGGTGTCGCCAAACCAGAGAAATGCTGTGCTTTCTATATACTTCACGTATCGGAGGACACATGACTCAAGGTAATTAAATAGAAATATCTGCTGTATTAAAATCAACAAATTACATTTTAGAACACCAGCTCAGCACATTTGGATTTGTATTGGATTGTATTTGGGTTTGTCCTCATTTACATCTGCATGGAGTCAGTCCTCACTCAAGCTAGTCGAAAGCTAAGCATTCATATATTTGCAGGATTGGCGCCTCTGTAAGAAAATGCAGTTTCTCTGTGGAGTTTGTAAGAATAGATAAAAATGTACACAAATGTTTAAACTTGTCACTCTTTGGGAAAAAAAATACAGTAATAGAATATTTGGGGAAACATATTCCCCCCCTCTGCTTGCTAGAGCAGTATCTGGAAATCACACCAATGACCTCAAGGGAAACTACATCTTGATCTACCTCCTCTTCCTTATCAGCTGCAGGGAGGAAGGAAGAGTACAGTCAAGGGGAAAAGCCACAAAAAAAGAATTGGTCCGTGGCAAAACTCAACTTTCTGAGCACGTTGCCTAAGGGCTTTGCAGCAGAGAAAGCTGGGGGCCTGTGTTAATATGGTAAACAACAACAGACGTGAAAAAACAAAACAAGAAATCATTATCCGTAAAGCTAATTTTATACATCATGTAGGAATAATAAATAGCAAAAAGGGTGTGTTTTGTATTTCTGCTGGCCTTCGTTATCCTTCATTTAAAAAAAAGAAAAATGCTTGTCTTTTTATTCCTTTGTACTATTGGCTGAACTTCCATGAACAAGACTGGTTAAAATTTCTGGAGAATTAGCAAAACACTCCAACAAATGTATCGTATTTCCTCCTATTCCTAATATGCCTCAAGTTAAGTTCCAGCCTTTACCATTTACGCATTTCCACCTCTAGCATACATGAAAATGGGTATCCTTGGACACTGTTAGTGAACTTAACAGTCCCAGTATGTCCTACTAAATGGCTAAATTATTCCTGTAAGGAAAGTACAATTTGTGTGCCCACTTCAGAAAACCAGCGAGGTTATACCAACATGAGGAGGTGGACGAGTTTTTCTCTACTGAACCCAAACACTCTTTTCTTTCATCTTTAGGTAAGTGGGCAGCGAGGGATAAATGATTGGGGAAAAAAAGCCAACAGAAAGTCCTAAACAAATAGGTGACCTCTGACCCTAGAATTTATGCAAACACAATTTCTGAATTGCTTACAAGCCACAAACAAAACAACACCACTTTACGAGAAGTATTTGATATACTTGGCTTTTTTCCCCACAGACTCTGTTCTGTGGCATTCCACTGGACATCACATACACTAAATGTAATGTCCTTAAGAAATCTACTCATTTTCCAGTTTCATAAGTAGTAAACAACCACCACACATTGAGGATGAGAAGCCTCATTTTAGTAGCTAAGAATTATATTAGGTTTGCATTATATCTTATTTCTGCAGTAAGGCACGGAAACAATTCAGCCTTACTGATGCGATGGGTCTCAACAACACCACGTTAACACGTTTAGGAGAGGCATCGGTGAAGGATGCAGGGAAAACTAAATACACAGTTCATGTATTGGCTTTGGGAAAACACGTAGAAAAATGCCCTAATGCTGAGGTACAGTTCCTGTTCAATGTCACTTTCCGTTTCAATTTTGTTAACTCATGTTACAGGTAGATTTCAAGCATTTCTACCCTTTGAGATATTTCTTCCTTTACCTCAAATGCTCATTTTCAGAGTATCCATACTGTACTTTAAATTCTCATATTTGAAAAAAGAAAGAAAAAACAAAGAAAAAACATGCAGTTAGAGTCTACCATTCATTAACAACATTATTTCAACGTGACTTAATAGTACAGTCATCTGACATATAAATATATGAAAAAAAATCTGTACAGAGCAGAAAGCTCAAAGGCTTACAACAAGCAGAGTAAAGGCAAAAATAAGACAGAGGATGAATGTTAGTAACTAGTAACACACACTTAAGGGGAATAAAAAAAGAACCCATAAAACTGACCTGTTCTTGCAAGGAGAAGCAGCTTGCCATTTGCAACTTCGCCATTAACATAGCATTGCAGTGACATTAAAAATTATGTCATGGTGAATACAGACAAAGGAGAGCATTGAGATGTGAGTTATCTCAAACTTACAGCAGTGGAAAAGCTGCGCTCTGCTTAAGAAAAAGGTCAAAGGGAATGCTACAGCAAAGGACAAAACCCAATGCACAGACAGAATGTTGCCTACAGCACACAGAGGGAAGGCTCTCTAAATGCAGTTCCTCAATTAGCGCCCTAAATGGAGAAAGCACTTAAGCATCTGCAAGCCTCATATCAATATTCAGAGGAAATAAAAGTAATTCTGTCCATAAAATCTAAGGGACCAGCAAGCATTGGAGACAATGAGTCAGAGTCAACCTCGGGTAAGTGGGTCTAATTAGAGCAGCGCCAACAGGCTACATTTGCTCAAGTCTGATTTGATGTGAAGTGCCACACGTCTCTGTTGTGTCTGTTTCTGTGAACTACACAAATTAGAAGGGAAAAGGGTCTGGACATGGCCAGATCTAAGGTATCAAAATGCTCTGATGGCAATTTTCTCAGCCCTTTATCCTCCCCAGGTAAGCCAAGCTTGGATTCAGCCAAGTCCATCTCTTTGGGATCAAGAACTTAAGTGGGCATTCCCTGGGCCCTGCTTGCATGGGGACTAATGGGGATGCAGTCTAGAAAGGATAGTTCATTGGTTACTGTCATGGACCAAATTTTCTCTTCCCTTTTAGCATACAGACACATCTCTCTTCATCCTCTTCAACTCTCTCATCTTCTACCTGGAGTTTGTTGCAGTTTTCTAGTACTCTATATGCTGACCAGAGCTATTCTTAGGCACAAGTCATGAAGAATTGCGGCTAGAGAGGGCTCCGTGACTTTTCTGAAGGTGCTATCAGTTGCCCACATACTAAGTGTCAGATCCCAAAAATAAGATACACAGCACGTAGTCATAAACTAGACATGTTAAAGACTACTTTTATCAGCCATTTTCTTTCCCGGTGAATAACAGATGCATAATGAACTTCGTAAGGTTTTTTATACCAATTTTGTTGCATCTCAAGCACCTGTTACAACCTGAAAAGGCAGCTATCCTTTTAAAATCAAAATTAAGTTGCAACAGTTAGACTACCACAAGACTCAAACATCTGATTTACAGTTTACAGTAGACATGAAACAAAAGGATATAACAGAAAAAGACTACAATTATTGCAGAAGGTAGAAAAGTTGCCACCAACCAAAATCCCCAAGTATCTCCCCCTTCTCTGTAAAGAGAAATACTTTTTGGATGTGGGTGGCATAACAATCATGTCATGGAGAAGGGAGAAGCTGGGTTGGAAGATGAACAGAAGTGGTATGACACAGAAGTGGTATGTATGCAAACACACAGATGAGTATTTATGTCCCAAGAACCTGAACACTCAGAAAGTGGTTTGAAACTGAAGATCCCACCACAGCCTTGTTCTCTTCATTCAAGTAAATTAAGATTAAGTGTTTCTCTACAAAGCTGAGCAGTCATGTACTGCAAAAACCTCTGGTTTGCCTTCTCCACACGTCAGCTTGGTAGTAACCTGAACATGTGAAGAAATCTACTGATGAGTATGCAAAATGGTTTTCTCTTTCCATATGCTGCAGAAAACAAGATTTTACCTTTGAACAGCATTAAAAATATAATAGAAAAACTATATAAATGTTAAAGGATGTTTCTCAAGTGCAGGATGAAAGATGATCTGCTGCTAAGTGGTATGAAGTTAAACTTCTTTTTGGAGGAACAATGGACTTTTGTGGAAGAAAAAAGCATATGTTTTCTACTCAAGATCTTACTGTTGATAATCCACTTGTCAAATGTCCATGTTTCCTTGAATAACGAGAGGCCACTATGTCATCAATATCTTCTTCTCTTTCATCCAGATAATCCTAAATGACAAACAGGTGTTTTAGTCATCGTGTTCTGTTCTGTATTTGGTCAGCTTCTGTCTCTTAGTTTTGTTTCATTTATTTTCCACTTTAGGAGGACAGTGCAGGATATGTTCAAATTTCTAATCTCTAGAGAGGAATTCTGATTTACATTTTCCACATCTTTACACAGGCACACAGCATAAGGGGAAAAGACGCTGTTAGGGTTTCAGGGTTCAATTGCTTAAGAAGCGAAAAACTTGACACACATAGTTCATATCTTATTCTGGAGGCGCATACCTTTGCATGGCCAACAGCTGTGCACATAAACAAAACCCACTTCCATGCCTGCTAACAATCCCATGTGAATTGCTTTATTCTGCTTACTAGTATTTGCATTCAGGAATTCAGGTTTGGAAATCTTAGAGGGACCTGGTTAGAATTTTTCAAATCTTAACAAAAGAAATAAGCAAATTAAGGTCTGATACCAGGAGCCAGGGGATCATTGATACTGGTTCATCTGAAGACATTTGTAGCCAGAAGCCATTAGATGATTGATTTCCTGGTTACAGTCCAGGTTCCATGTTTTGGACACATATTTTTACAATCCAGAAATCCAATTTTCCAATTATTATCCACAACACATTACACTTGCACACTTTCATGCTGCTTAGATTTCCTGAACATGATCATTAACACAGATCCACTTTCTAACAGGCAGTGTTGAAAGCTGTGGGTTATTGTCAAATCACATGGGAAGAAACTTGTCCTGCCATCATACGCACTGAATATATTTGAGGGGTAAACAAAAAACCCAGCTGATGTGCATGTTTTAAAAATAATTAAATTCCTGTACTATTTTAATAATTCTAAAAAATGGAGGAGAAATCAGTAATTGCACGGCTTCATATATGTGCTTGAGTTTTAATACACAAGACTGGACTGTAACATCTTTAACCCATATACAGAAGAAAAATAATTTTCAGTTTTTAAACACAGCAATGAAGTAAAATCTAAAAAGAAACTTAAAATCTGGTTGATGGTCCTAAAAGAACTGTTAACTTTAAGTAAAAGTTACAGGAAAAAAAACCCAACAGATAGCTATCATCCTGTTAAGTGTAGTTTGGAAATTTCAAGCATTTCCTTAAACCTTATGGCAGGTAATTTGAAAGACTCTGCTTTTCATTTTAATGGAAGTCAAATGTTCAACTTCCTTATATCTGCTTTGCAGCTATAATAATCTCACATGGTGACCTACCTCACTCTCTATTGCTTAGTCACTCTCACTCTTAAACTAAGCAGAGAAGTACTGTATTCAAACTCAGGAGTCTCAGACTTCTATGCTAATCGGGAAAAACAGAGCAGAGAAGAAATGCTGCAGGAGAGTTGAACTGTCACAGTTTATGTAAAGATCTGCAGAGCATTTGTCATTAGCATGCATAAAACTAGCTATTACATCTCCTCTTCTTTGCTCCAGTGACTGAACTGAAATAAAATCAGCTGAAAGCGATGCAAAATTTTCTATTACTGCTTTCCAGTTGTAACTGCATATTTAATATTGAGCAGAGGGAAATCAGGACAAGCCATCACTCTATTTGGGACCAAAATTTACATACTGAAGCAAAAATTCCTCTTAGCTTCATGTTCTTACGATGAGCCTCCTCTGCTGGTCTCTTCTCTTTCTAATCTATCCAGGGCACTGAATATACTCTAAGGACAAAGGTCCATGGAGACCCAGGCACAACAGAGCTAACCATTTCAGGGAGACAGACAGAGTGCTGAATCCTTCAATAGTAAAAATAACAACAACAACCAAACCTAAAATAAATCCCCCCCCCAAATTCTTCATTTCTACTCTCCTCATTGACTTCAGAATTCAGATGATGTACCCAAGTTTAAAACCTGCCACAAGAATGCACAACTTTCTTGCCTATACAAGAGGAAGAAGCAATTCTGGTAACACATGCAAAACTCTTTCCTTTACACTGTTGTATATGTACCTGTGGACTTTAAAATAAACAATGCTACACTTTTATTGCTGAAAAATTAAATACAGGACAAAAAAAGTAAGGCAACATCTTCAGACTGGGTTTAGACACTCAAATATTAACAGTGCTTCACAAAAAGTCCCAAAGACAGCTAGCTGACTGCCAAATTTTGTCTGCAAGCAGATATCTAAAGCTAAAAAACAAAAAATGGTTAACATTTAATCTATGGTCTTAATTCATTTTGCACCACAATGATTATGTTTCTCAGGAGATGTTACAGAACTGCAACTACATAATTGGTTAGCGTTATTCGCTTATTAAACTTAGAGCTAGTAGGATATTAATCTCATGGTCTCCAGTAGGGATTATAAAATGCACATTATCCAATTATTTCGAATAAAGCAGCTGAGCATGTAATGAACACTGGTTGGTCAGGAATTTGACACACACCTCTCTAGATAAGGTGCTCACACTTGAACACAACACTAGATTTAACTGGTTCCCCATACTGCTCGATAAATAAGTACTACAGTATACGGGTTTCTGGGAGTTGTGATAGAATCCTAGAACAGTTTGGGTTGGAAGGGACCTCAAAGACCATCCAGTTCCAACCCCCCTGCCATGGGCAGGGACACCCTCCACTAGACCACGTTGCCCAAAGCCCCATCCAACCTGGCCTTGAACACTTCCACGGATGCTGCTGTAAGGTCTCCCTGGAGCCTTCTCTTCTCCAGGCTGAACAACCCCAACTCTCTCAGCCTGTCCTCACAGGAGAGGTGCTCCAGCCCTCTGATCAGCTTCGTGGCCCTCCTCTGGACTCGCTCCAACAGCTCCATGTCTCTTGTACTGAGGACCCCAGAGCTGGACGCAGTACTCCAGGTGGGGTCTCATGAGAGTATCCCTTTTCATTATCAAGGACAAGGTAAGTTAGAGAAGCAATTTTTCAGCTTATTTCTCTGTATGTGTAATAGGCTTTCCTGATAAAGCTGGGAGCAAAGCAGTTAAAAGCCTTTTCCCACACTTTCAGCTGATAAATTCCAGCAATCTGCCTATCCTATTGACATGTGGCATCTCTCACATCACCGCTGTCAGCTCACATCACCGCTGTCAGCTCCCATCACCCAGAAATAAGAGAATGAAGAGCCTCAGCTAGCTCCACCACCTGGCCAGGAGAAAAGATGATATAAATTTTCTCAGGCTGCAGAAGCTGTTGTTATTTTTCTCAGATATCTTTCTTTTTGCCTCATATCAAGCATCAAAGAAGCTAAACTCCTTTATCTCAAAAGACTGCATACATAATGAATATAGGGCAAGACTCTGAAGGACTTGTGTGAGTCAAACTATCCTAAAAAACATGGTAACGCTATAGCTGATGAATGCAGTCAATTGATTTCATAAGACAGAGCAAGTGAGTACATGGGTAGAATCGGAGATCTACAAACCCCATTATGAATGAAGTTGAAAGGGGAATTGGCACTCTCACAGACCTCAGAGCAACTAAATCAAGGTTATGCCACAAGAGAGGTCCCCTATGTTAGCAAAGAAGCTACAGAGTTGCTGAGATGCAATCTGAAATTTCATTCAGAGTCAGCAAGAAAAGAAGAAAAAAAAAAAAAGAAAAAGAGAAAAGCTCGGAGTATGAGGAAGACAAAAAATAAAAATAAAAATCAAAGAACAGAAAACAACTCTGGACTTGGCATCTCTGGCACCTGCCTCAGAAATTCCTAGGTGATAACTACCGCACCATGCACAATTAGAGCAGGAAACTAATATAGAGATATTTAAAGCTTGTATTTTCTTATTTTATACTTCTGCGATATTTTCCAACTTCTTAATCAATAACACATCCTTTTTCTTGACCGCAATTAAAACATAAACCACCTATTTTTTCTTCCACAGAAATCTGACACACAGGAAGCACTTGGTTTATTTCCTTAAAGATTAACCCAAACAAAGCAGTGCTGCAGGCAGATTCTCTGAGTGCTTACAACCCAAGAAATGAATGGGAATCCCAACACATTGTGTTCCACCAAACCCAGAGTATCAAATGCTACAAGAAGGAGAAACATCTCCCATGGTCAATGCTTTTCTGAAAAGAGGAAAGGACTATGACAACAGACAAAATGCATAAACCATAACACAGAGGGTCATGGGTTTTTTTAAGCTATTTGGAAACTTTAGAATAAACTATGATTCGATGAAGAATTATTTAAGTATCTCATCTTTTTTCTCCCTCATGCATATTTAACAAACTTGGAAATTCTTTTATAGCATTGATGCACACCTGCAACTTGCGTATCTTGGATATGTGCGTAAGAGGAGAGGGAAGTTGTGAATCACTTCAGGAAAAGCGGCCCACAGAAGACATAGAAAAAGGCATGGAGATGTATGGGAGAAGACAGTGATCAGGAAGAACAGGCAAGAAACAGTGGCAGAACAGAAAGTTGGGGCTTTGTTTGCTAAAAAATATATAAGGGGAAAACCAAAACAAGACAAAGATTAGAGCCTTTAAAGTATAGTATTTCTCAGCATCAAAATTAAAGTCGAAGAAAGTATGAATTAACAGAACTTTAGAGCATGTGTAAAATAGTGCCTGAAATTTATTTTCAGCCCAGATTTCTTTCACCTGTAAACTCAAAGAACAGCGAATAATAACAAACTGTAACCGTGACTATTCATTGGAATCATTCTATAGCCAACATACTCAGAAGATGAAGCTATTTAAAAACTCGATAAATATCCCTGAAAATGTCCTGCATTAGTTATATTTTATATAGGTATACATACAGTGCTGATATCATAAGTCTGAACAAACAGGATTTCCACCAGATAAACATTTACATATTTATAACTCACCAGTTCCTGATCTAAGGCACTAGGTACAGATTTGCTTCTTATGCTCAGAGTCTCCTCATTTCCTTCAGAGAAAGATTCACTTAAATCTATCTCAGATCGGCTACGATCTGGAAAATAAAAACAATTTAAATGTTTGCTATAATTCGTACAAAAATATTCCATTTCATCTTCCACACTTTAATAAGTGTTGTGTTGAACCCAACTGTTTTTTTAAGAAAAAACATCAAAACAATATTTTAGGTATCTGTCACAAACTCTATGACAACTGAACATCAATATGATAAATGGAAAAACATGTTTTCTGATGCCATTCAGCCTTCTGGCCAATACTTTTCCCCCTGCACTATTTTTCTGCCGTAATGGGCTCCTGTGGATAATACTATAGATCAAGCTTTTGACTTTTTCTGATAGGTCTGTCAGCCTGGAATATTGCAAAACTTGCAGTCCACGTGTTCACAGTGATTATCACATCTCCCACTACCACCAAACTTCCTCCAGCGTCTGCTTCAGAATTAAGCAACTAGGGATACAGATGGACATAGAAAGTACTTCTGCATTACTGATGTTCCCTGTGCAGAAAGGAGGAGGAAGCAAAGAAGTCTTGAGACCTGCACAAGCTTCTTTCAGTCCTACAGGTTCTCATCTACTCTATAGGCATAAGACGTGTTAGATGTCTTGGAGAAAGATTTTCCTAGTTCTCCCCATATAAATATTTTGTGCAACTGTATATTGAGAAAGAAAGAGGGGGAAGAGAATCCTACCTGCAGGATCTAACGGTAATCTGGGAAGTTTTTAACTCTTCGTCTTCTACCTGGGCTATAGCTGATGTGACAGAAAGGGTCACTCTCCTGAGCTTAATGTCCTTCAACATCCTCCAACAAGGAGACAATGAAGAGTCTGAGGCCCATTCCCAGGTTGCCTGCAATTTTGCTCAGCATCCATCTGCTTTCAGTTCTTTTCTAGTAGGAAAACTTTTATTTTATAAGGTAGCAGAAACAGGAGAATGTTCACTTCATAAAAAAGTTGCAGTCTGTAACACCTCTGCCTGGAATTGCACTGTACAATGTTCTCAAAGAAACTCTAATGCTTTCAAGTTGAAAAAATCTAAGGTGAAGAACGCTATCTCCTTTGATTAGCTCTGTGGGATATGACACTAGGTTTCTGCTTTGGGCTAAATTCAGCTGAAATAAAGTGAGCCCTGCTGCCTTTCAGAGAGAAACCTGTAAATCTGAACCCACTCTGTTAGCCCCATAAGAAGCTGACCGAGTGCCTGGAAGAAGCAGAAGAGCGCAGGGTGCTCCTGCCTCCTATTTCAGATAGGAGGAGGATCTCCACCCAGTGTTGCAGAATGGCTCTGACAGCACCTCACTGTGCAAGCCTCATTTACCTAACAGCCTCCGATGAAAGGAGGTAAACTACAGCTGAATCGACTGGTTTGGTGCATGACGTATAAAAATGAAATGACGTGATGTCTGTAAGACACTTGTTCTCCGATGGCTGTTTCCCAAATTTACTTCTGAGCAAAGTGGGTGTGAAATGTAATGGCAGTAGCACAGTAGTATTTTACACAGATCACAGATACGTAGTATTTTATACATTTGACCACACAGAGAATGATTTAACAATGTGCAATTACGAATGAAATCTTGTAACAATCCTAAGAGTATGTGATTTACCTAATACTAACATCGTGCCAACATCACTGGGGTTAGGATTATCATTTTTTCAAATGTAAAACTTGTGAAGTGGTATAAACTTGGTTAGCAAAAGGGAAAAACTTTCAGAATGAATATGAACAAATTTATGAAACTTACATCTGATCTTTCAGTGTGCTTTAAAAACAAAAGAAGCAGAGTCACAACAATAGGAATAATGCTCTGATGATAAAGGCTGGCAGAAAGAAGGAAAAGACTTAATACTTGCCTGATGACAAAGATACCCTAGAAACTGCAATGGAAGGTGTTCCAGATGCTTTCCTACAGTGCTTCTTCACTAAATCTTCAGGTACACTTTCACTTGCTGGAATAATCATGCCATTTTCTAAGCCAATGTCCTGCCCAGTAAGAAAAATGCACATCTCATAAATACAAAAAGCTAGCTTATTCACTATCAGTCTGCAAAAGCATCATTTATATTAGCTCCCAGAACTCCAAAGCTCCTTTAGAAGCCAGTCCATTACTGAATATATTTAGATTACAATCTAATCTGCTTTGCTTAGCACAGATCATGCATAAAATTTGCACAAAGATGTGATTCATGCATACATTCTGAGTTTGCAACTGCAGAATCAGAGCAACGCATCACGAGTGAGGGGAGGGAAGTGAAATACTCAAACTACTAAAAGTTCACTTAGCTTGGAAATAAAATAAAAAAAGAAAAGAAAAAAAAAAAGAATGAAAAGATAAACCCTATTGTTTTTATACCAGCATAATGATTTCAGTCAGGGTAAACCCAAATGGACTTGAACTAATTAAATTACGCTGGTATAATCCCTTAAATAAAGCAAATATGCTTGATATCATTATGGCTTTTTGCCTTCTTGTAAAGGAATAGCTAACAACATAACTCCATCTAAATTAAATGGATTGGCCTTTTTCAACCAAATCCAATGCCCTTGAAATCAAGTCAGTCTGTGTGCCAACAAGAATATAAATAAAACAAGTATTAATTTATTGACAGTTCCCAAAACGTCCCTTCACATATACTAATTTACTTTTTATTATGAAAGACAATATATTAGGCCAAGTAGTTAGAAGTTAGAAAAAATTGATGTGTTCAATAGGGCTCTGATCTCAAATGCTCATCTACCTTTTTCCCAAACATTAATGGTAAAAGGCATTGCTTCCGACTATAAATTTCACTTTGCTTGTACACTTATGGCAGCTTAGCATAACTTGCTAGTACAATCCTGATTTCTTAAGAGAGGTGACTGAAACAAATTCAGGATGGGCATCTCAGTGCACAGCCAGAAGAAGCTGCTTGACAAACAGGCAGGCTGTCTGGGAACGGAGAGTGTCTGCCTCTGGCTAGATGAGCCACATCCTTCTGCTGATTGCAAAGCAGCCAAGATGGCTAGCTCAGACGTGGCCACCTACATCCCAAGAGGCCTAACAGCCGGTAAGAGGAATCCCATATTTCATTTTCGTAAAGTGTCTAGCACACATTTTGTGTTATGCCATAATTTATGCAGAGTCCAGTGTCCAAATCCAGAAAAAATTCAAATCAGTACGGCCTGATTTTCTGCAAGTGCTGAGCTTGCAACATTTCCCTTAGAAGTTAGTGGGAAACATGCTGAGCCCTGCATGCTAGAAAGTCACATCCTTAGTTCACAGCACTTACTCAAGGCCCTGAAGTGCCAAAAACGCTTACTCCCATCCCTTGTGCTTCCCACTTCAGAATCTGTAACTCATTATGTAATCATGGACATCAGCAGCAACTTTTAGGCATAAGAAAAATGTCTGCCGAACCAAAACCATCACTGGCAGAGCATGACAAATTCTGTTCTAGTAGAGACCTTTACTGGTCCCAGCAGAATTAAGGAAGAAACAAAATCTTCTCTGTCAAGCTTGTCCTTTGCGGGTTACAAACTGATCTAACAGGGCAGATACCAGCCGAGTCATCTCGTTTGGTGTCAGCTCTACATCGCCGTACTTACCCTGCTATAATCTGCGGTCATGCTGCGCGTGCTGAGTGCCGGAGGCCTAGGGAGGGAAGGTACGGAAACATTGCTTCTGCTCGCAGGACCCACGGCCCCTTTCGGATGGCCCGCGGTGGCCTCTGCATCGCTGCCGTTCAGTGAGAGAGTGCTCCCTCTGGGACGGAGAGAAGAGTATTAAAGCATTATTGCTTTGAGCAAACCGAGGCAACCCATTTAGCAAAGTATTGCGAGAAGACAGCCATGGAAACGATTTACTAGAATAACATTGCCCTGGATGAACTGCGTGATTCACTGCGAGAAAATGGTTAGCTGGAAAGAAAAACACAGGCAAAGGTGAATTACAGTTATATATTGCACATATAAAAATATACATACACCTGTTTTCAGGACTTCTACCAGAACTGCAAATAGCTCAAGTGGGTGGCTCTTGTCCAGGCTGCAGAAGCTGCATTTGCCCATGTTCATTTCAAACTGCGTTCGCATCCCAACAGCGGGTGCGACAACTCATGTAACGCTTCCTACCAGGCTGCTCCTTGGTTTAAAGGAAAACTGTGGTGACATGACAGCTCTGGCCACTTCTGCAGCTGGTGTTAACGCCAGCATTATCTCCAGAAAGTCTACAAATCCTTGGCTATCTGCTCTCCACCCTCTCTAGAAAAACAACAACTTGCTCACTGTCTTGTTTATATTGCAGTAATGACTCTTCATCCAACCTGGTGGTTTCTTTCTACCAGCTCGGAAAGCTAGGAAAGCTGGACAAGTCTTTCTGCCAGGTTTCATGTTAGTAAAAGTGACAAAAAGATGAGCTGTAATCAGCATACCAGAACTCGACTGTTTTCTAATACCACAATAGGCAGAAATTTTTCCATGGGATATTTTCTATTAGAAAATATTGATTAGTCCATGTGAACATTGAGAGTTAGAAAGGGTAAGCTGCTGCACTTTTTTGACTTCTTGAAATGATGAAAATTATTTTTAAATGTATTTCAACACATTTCCAATTAGTTTTAGTTTCATTTGAAATTTGCTTTGCAGTTAAAAGTTCTTGGCTGATCAACTCTTCTTTCTCCACAACCATCAGTTCAAACCTTTCATTTTTCTTCACAATTTAGAGAAATCTCAAAAAGTCTTGCAGGACGGTAACAGTTCTGCATACATTTCTACTTACTACTTTAAAAACCCCAACAGATAAATATGAATTAATGCAGGAACTGCAGCTACTCCGTATGGAAAATACAGTGTCAGAGGACAATAGTAGTGCAAATTTGCTGGAGAAAATTTTTGGAACAGTACATTTTCAGCCAAAATAAGCTCACTTAATAAATATTTCAGATCTGCAGGCATTTTCATTGTGCTGGACAACATCTGAATTTCACCTTCACTTGGTTTAGGCTGTCCTTACTCTCCAATTTCATGTATTGACTACCACAGATAATGCATAATAAACATGCTTTTATGCATGTGCACTTCATACACATGCACTGCTGCTTTTAAATTTGATGAGCTAGTAATCAACAAATCCTACTAAATGTGCCGTGGTTGATTTTTGGTCCCACCCGTTTTGGTGCTTGCAAAGTCAGAAAAATCAAGGTTACTGGTTGTCATCTGTATTTTATAAAAGCTGTTGGACTTAGACGCACACACCTTAATTTCCAAACCTGTCAGTGCATACCAAGTAGCCAACCTGAGTTTCATTGCATGTCACACCATTTTGGATGGGTTGTTGTGACTTTCTGTTACAAAAACTGTTGTTACAGATTTTTTTTTCCTCACTGTGTAAACTAACGTAAATCAAGAGAAGCGTTCTGAAGTAATAGTAGGCTGGGATAAAAGATTTGAAAACATGTTACAAGGGGTTCTGCAGGAGTCACCGGTCAGGCTGAGCACTTACACATCAAACTTGCTAAACAGACCTCTCCTGTACCCCTTATTTCAGTCTGCTATTAGAGAAGTTCAACACATTTTATACGCATATTAAGTAGACAACAAAAGAAAAACGTTGTTTTAACTTGACTATGCCAGGCATTTCCATGTGGTAGACAAGACCTCAGTACGATGGGGTAGTGTGCCTGTGTAGATAAGCCTGAAATACCTATACTAATTCTCATAGAAGCATCCTGATGCAGCCTCCCAGTGCATTCAGTTGCAAAAGAAAACATTTTTGCTGGGGTTGAAGAAATGAACTCATGGCCTGGGACTCCCTGTTCCCAGCTCAGTGCATCTTCTCTTAAACCAAAATGTTTAGAAAGAATAAAAATTCTCTCTCAGTTTTCTTGCTGGTAGGTGAAATACTACCAATTTTGACAATACAGCTAAAAAGATGACGGCAATTACAAGAATCAGAAATATGCAGGAAAATCTAGGGCAGCTACAGTGTCACAAGATGTTGTTATATTCTTTTAATTTGAAACTCAAAACAGTTAGGGAGGGCAGCCTGGGAAACTTTGCTATTATTTTTAATAATTACTACTCAGTTCTTTAAATTAACAATAGATGAACTAAAGCAAGCATCCTCAAATATCTAATTAAAGTATTTAACCATGCATGTACAAGACAGGAATTTTCATCCCTCTACTGAGAAATATGAGCTGCTCCTCAATCCTTCCCCAGGCTAGTATTTACAAAGTGCCACATCTTCCACAGACAGCAAAATAATTCAGCCCCGTACCAAAAGCATCTCCTGGCAACACAGCTGGGTTACTATGACAAAGGACACCAATTTGTCCAGGTGAGGATGAGATGATGGGTAGAGAAGGCAGTTGCCATAATGATTCAATACTCCTAATTTAATAAATCCTGCACCCTGGCTCTGGGCAAAAGCTAGAAATTGATGCTTTATGTGAAAGTCAAGCAAGGTAATCAAACATAAAGGCTATTTTTATAGAATACTTCACCCTATTTATCCTTCTAAGCCTGTGCACAGAGCTTATCAGGTGCTGAATTCTACCACCCCAAACAAAATTATTTTGCTTCACTTACGATTAACTGCATGATAATTTTCTTGCAGTCTGGCACATCGAAACTGCTGCACAGATCTCTCACAAGCATCCCTTTGTCCTTACTCTGGTAAACTTCAATAATGTTACTTAATATTGCATAACCTTAGGGTTAAGCAGCACGGACACCAGATTCCTGAGTTTTTGTCTCTTAGATCCTTTGCTCATCTGTACTCTAACCAGCAAAAATATTACTTCTGGTCTCATAAAAGTAAAGTATGAATCTGGTTAGATACAGAAGGCATAATCAGCTTAGTGAAAAAAACCACCTTAGTGAACTGTGTATAGATTAAAGAAGAAAACCAGCTTGAAAGCAGATTTGGCTAGTAAGTACCGCAGCATCCACTGAAGAAAAAAAAAAATCAAATGATGAACTTTCAAGAAGATTGTGACCATCAACTTCAAGCATGTTGCAGAACATTCAGCAACTGGATTTTCGAATTGTAGGTCACAAAGGAAAGCAAGTTCTTGCTTAAACAAGAAGGCTCATCTGTGGGTGAATTAAACTTCATGACGTTCCTTTTACCTGATATCCTGTGTTCCTGTATACCTGTTTGGACTCTCCCAGGAACACTGGTTTAGAGCTAGAAATTTCTATTGGATCTTACAGCAAATTATTATTATTTTTCAATCCAGATGGTAAAATTTCTAGGTGTGTGCACCTGAGCAAAGATTGTGGGTCTCCATCCAGTATAGACTAACTAACCGTGCAAGAAAAAAGTGTACTATTTTTTGGATTCATTTTGGTGGTGGGACATGAGAGGAATGTTGCACCTGGCACTTTATAATGCTATCAACAGAGGCAATAACAGAGATTTCTTAAGCCTGGAAGAACGATAAATGGCATTCTATTACAAATAATTGGGACAATAATCATAGAAAGAGAAGAGCAAACAGAGCCTCTGAAGAAGAAAGTATAAATTATAATCAATTAACATGTCATTACCAAAGAAAAACTTTTCAACAAAGGGTCTCAGTTCTGTAACATGAACAGAGTTCATTGATGAAAAGCCAGAAAACAAAATACAACGTACTGACCACAATCACCAGCTGAACACCAGGAGAGTAAAGGAAGACAGAGGAGATAATGTTTAGAGTTTTTTCTTTTCTTTTTTATTTTAAACATAAGCTCTGCTTCTCAGATAGTATTAATGTTGAGCATTCAAAGATGCAATGCAACACAGAGGACAGATGCACACCCCAGTCAATCCTGGCATAAGCTGTACCAGATTTCTGCTGCTCACCTCTCAGAGCAAGGTGTTGACTTGCCACTGCGAAGACTTTTGGTTTCAGCTTCTGAGCCTGTGTTCCTTTCACCTTCATCTTTTGTATTTGTAATTTCTCCTTTGGTAGCTGCCCTAATTACCTTCCTGATGAAAACAGGGAATAAAAGATTATAAAATTGTTTTTCTTCCCAGGAAACAGCAGCCTGGCTGAAATACTGTGATGTGCGCATTCTCTTAATTTCATCTGACCTACAGACAGCTCTGGATATAAGGGTCAACAGACTATTAAATCTGGTTATCAAACTGATTCCTATGAACAAAAATAAACATCATATTTGCTATAAACTGTTTTTTAAGGCACAAAGCATTAAAACATCCCTCCTACTCAACTTGGCCACTTCAAGCTTTGAACCAGAAGTGCCTTTTGTGAATATTCCTCTCTCTTTATTTTATTTTTTACAGTTTATACACAGCAAAGTATTTTTAACTAAGTATGTGTATTTCTCCTAGCAATTTACACTACATGTATTTTCTCTTAAAGACTGCTTTGCAATTTCTACAATTAGATGCATCAATGCCCCAAAAATGCTATTTTCTGAAAACATAACATCATCCTCTTACCCTGCAACATGTGGCCTAATAAGACAGAAATGAAAGAAATTAAATAAAGGTTTGAAAAGTAATAGTATTCTTCATAGACTTACAAACAGCAGACTGTTGTTATCCCCTGACACTAAGCATCAGTAGGAGTTGGCCCCAAAATGCCTTTGCTAAAACAAATACACTCATGAGATATATGAATGTGGAAGCTGAGGGAGGAAGAAGGAGCAAGGAAGGAAGAGGAGGAGTAATGAATCGCTTCTAAGACAGGCCACAAAATATACTAGGAAAAACAAGCCTAATTCTTGTAGGATTAAATTTCCTTTATAGAGAATGCCATCACCAGAAAACATTTCAGGCCACAAATTGAAAAAGGCTGCACATCACTAAAATAAGCAACAGACAATTATAAAAATTAATTGTTTCACATAAGGAAATATGACTAATAGATTTGCACAAAGGATTTAAATGAAAAGAGGATTAGAAGAGTAAACATTGATGCACTTTTAGTATAGCTACCAGTTAGCATGATTCAGAGCAACATCTATGTCCTATTATAGTAGATTCCCTAGATTATAGTAGATTCTTCACCTTAATTTGAGAAGCCAGAGGTGTCCCGATGCTCTTTTCCCCCAATATTAAAGAGAGATAAATCACTCATGTTAATTTCTGGAGTCACTGGAACAAGTAATTCCCTACTCAGCTGTCCTCAAAAGTAAAAAAGCTGTAGAAAGCTATCTACCTACCCTATATTTAGGATTCATAATAAAATGTGTTCTTTCTTGCAACAGAAACACTTTTCCAACTACCAGCCCATGAAGCTCCAGCCATGATATGAACGTTCATCCGATTTTTCTTCTCGTTCACCCAACAGCCTCAAGTTATGTCCAGACACCATTTGTGCAACCATATATTCAATGCATCTGTCTATGTCCCCTGAGAGTAAGCGAGTGCTCCTCTAAGGGCGTAGCCAAGCTGGGGCTACGTGCGTCACTGAGACTGCAAGATGACCAGCAATAGATCTGTTTATTCACCGTCACGTGCACAACAAAGGAGCACTGCTTGACTGTTCGACTGCATTTGCACAGCTGGAAGCTGAAGGAAAACTTGACTTGAGAGCAGAACCAATCAGTGTACATAAAAAACAGGCCTCGCAAATACTATTTTTTACATTTGCTTCTTCAGCAAACCTGCCTTTAGGGACACTGTGTTACTTCCGGGTATAAACAAGAAAAATCCAGGAGTAAAATTGCCTTTTTTTCTGCTACCTTTATAGCTGAAGACTAATTACTGCTGCATTTCCTAGGAAACAGCACTCTAATTATAGTAAGTATACTTTTAAACAAAGGCTGTTTCTAACCCTGGAAAGTTTGAGGCTGATGTGAAACGCTGGAGAAACTCAAAAGAAAATCCATCCAACCACATACAGTTGTTATTCGATTTACCAGTTTCCAAAAAAAAAAAAAAAAGGCTTTACCCTATCTTTCTAGGTCCACTGAAGACTGATTTATGCCCAGTTGTGGAGGAAACTGATACATCTGTCCTTTTTTCTTCATTCTCTTGGGGTTCATCTTTAAATGTTCTTCCTTCATCTTTATTGGAAACCGTATCTTCAGTGGAGGGGGAAAGAAAAAAAAAAGTGAATGCTTTCACAAAAAAAGGCAGCATGTCAAACAGCCTACAAAAATAGGTATTATTTTTCAATATTAAATAAAAATAAATATTAAATATTTTTCAATATCATATCAAACCATATGATAAAATAGCATGGAAAAAAAACCAACTTGGGGCATTCTTTGGCTTTTCCTTTTTATAAAATAAAACAAAACTTTAAGGACCTTGAAATGTTTCTCATTATGAAGTCTTGCCTTGAACTATCAGTGTACAGTATTTTCTTTGTTAAATTAAAGAATGTTTTTCTAATTAAAATGTTTATTCAACTAGGATCAAGGTGTGGGGAAAATGGCCTAAGTATATCTTTAATATATCTATCAAATAACAAAGTAACAAATCACAAAATAAATAGCCAATTTGACAGGCTGCATAACATCAAAACCCAAAGAACATTAGATACTTGCCAGTTTGACAGCTTCTGAACCGCAGTGATATTGGCAAGATCAGCATTTTGCCAAGCCGCATATTTGCACCAGGCATTTTCCCAATGGCAGTAATGCAGTCCCTCTCCCCACCAACTGCCCATACCCACCACCTTCCTACTGAAATGCTACATCTGAAAGCAGACTTCCTAAATTACAGCTTCTGTGGGCAGGGTGAAGTAGTTAAGTGAAGTCAGAAGCATCAGCGTTTATTAAACCAGCGGTCCTGTGGTACCATGCAAGGTACCACGGCGGCTCGCAGACACGGTATGCTTGCAGTGCTTGGTTGAGATGGCCAGACTGTTTACTGTACCTAAAACTGCAGGTGCGATTTATTGGAGATATCTGGGCAAAAAGGAAAGTCAAGTAAGAACTGAGAAGTACCAAGTAGTCTGGATGTAGCCCATGTTCCAGCATACAGCACAGGAGTTAAAATTTATCTTTCTTATTCAGAGTTGAAGAAGAAAAATGAAATACTTTTAACATACCACCATCACACCTAAGAGAGCCAAAGTGAAAAAAAAAAAAAAAAAGGCTGAGTTTAGATCTCTGCATACAGCTGAACTTCCTGGCAGGAACTCAGAATGAACTTTTAGAGCCTCTGCTCCTGGCTTTGCAGCTGCATAATACTGTCCACCTGTCTGGATACTGAGATTTTAAGCAGCTCGCTCTCTCCACAGAGATACTTCTTCATTCATCTATACCTTACCTTTCCTATATATTAATCATTCACACATCACTGCACAGTAATACCCAAATAGGAAATTAAGATTAAAATACTGATTATACTTACACCTCCAACAGCGAAGAATAAAATACAATACAAGTCAAACACTCTGGAAACAAGGTTCAAATGTATTAAGCACCAGCAAATCTCTCCTGATCCCTACCTGGGAATTTGCGTAGGATAGACTGTCTGACAACATCGGTTCCAAGATTTGATTGTTTGAAGCGCTTTGCTCTCTCTTCAAAAAACCATTCTCCTGTCACTATCCGTAGCTGTCTATATGGGGAAAACAAAAAAAAAAAAGCCAGAGACACATGCACATTAACAAACTTGGCCAACAAAAGCTACTGCTTAAACCTTTAGGTCATCATTCAACCGTCATGCTCACAAACTCTGGACAAGATTTGCACAGTTCAAAATAAAGATATAAAAATAAAGATTGCACAGCTTGGGATAGTAGGACATGTAGCAGAAAAATAATATCATCTTGCTTTGTAAATGAAATGTAATTTTCAGTACATGGAAATTAACTTGGCAAAAAAAGCATTTCAACTACATTTACCAGATTTCCATAGAAAACACGTAACATACCATTTCCCTAGTCCTTTGGATAGTGAACTACCCAACCTGTTTTCAGTATCTCCAAAATGACAAGAGCTGTGGAAACAACAATGGTGGATGGAGGGAGAAAAACCCCCACCGAAGCTCCTGCCAGCCAAGTCAGCAGTTCCTGGACTCAGCCTGGTTACATATAGGTTGCTGCAAGCCTCTATACATATATATATATATTTCATCTCTAAGATCCGTATGCTGCCACTATATGCAGTTTCTTCACCTGATAGTGCTGTTAGGAATTAGCTACGTGTTGGAGGTTCAGAGCAATGAACTTTTGTCTTTGCTACTGTTCTGGATAATGCTGCTGCTTCTGGTTTCAAATTCTCTTACCTACACTAACAACAAAAAAATCCTTTACTAGCATTGCTGTTTTCCATAGGTATATTTTTATGCTGATTGCTAGCCTTTCCTGAATTAGTTTCATGGTAAAGCATCACCATTTCTACTGCCTCACTACATACAGTTGATAGCAAAAAGCTGCTAAGCAAATACTCAAATAAAAACCAAATAAACAAACAAATTCCAAACCATTAGAAACTGATTTAGCTCCAGACAAGTTCCTGCTTAGTTTACGCTCAACAAAAAAAACTTATTTTCAAACATATAAAGAAAAGAAATCATCTAGTCTCTTGGGCATGAAAATTTCTACAGATAGATTTAGAGCACTGATTAATATCTTTGCTATTAAATGACTTTTGAGTCATGCCTGAATGGAGAGTCTGACTTGGGAAAATACTAAAAACAACAGAAGAGGATCCTGTCATTGGTAAAAGAACCCTGATATCATCAGTTCTTCCTAATTTATTAATTAATCATGCACCTTTGCATGAATCATTTAAAAAAAAAAAATCAAATCCAAAACATGTGCCCATAAGTGCATAGATTATTGCCTTATCTTCTTGTTGCAGACTCCTAGTGACAAAGCTCCATATAATTCATCATCACAATCAGCCAGTCATTATGTAAGGCATTAAGTAAAATCTCTATGTTTCCACTCAGAATTTTTAAATTACTTTTGTTAGACAGAAACACTAGAAAGGATTCATTGCATTAGAAACTATGCATGGTCTGGCTAGTACGAAAAACAGTTTTTCTCTGAACGTGTATTTTCAGAATTCATTTACAGCACACACTTCTGTGTCGTGTTATTTTTATACCAAGGTTTACAGCAAGTTTAATGCTTTATAACAAACCATAAACCTATCAGACCTTTGACTACACCATCATATTCCATTGCAATATAAATGGCATATTACATTGTAGTATGAACCACCACGGTTCATTCTTTTTTTTTTTCCCCTCCCTCAGTTACTCCCAGGTTTGACCATAAAACTCCATAAGCGTCATTTTCCCCCTGGATAGTGATTTTATTCACCCCTATATCTTACAGCAATGCTTAACTTGACCAAGGTCAGACAGGGCACTCCCCACCCCCGTATCCAGACAAGTGCCTTCACCCTTTTCCATGCTCAGGACAACCTGAAGGAAAAGGTGTGACTTGCGCCCAGGGCTTCAGCAGCGCGGGAGGCTGACCCACACAAAGCTACAGGCTCTTGCAAGCAAGACCTTGTAATTATTTCTGCACCCAACCCGGAACTGTGCCACTTGCCTGGGCTGCTGTGGTTCATGGAGGGGCCGCCTGTCTGACACAGGGTCCCCGGAGAGCCATCTCCTTCATTTTCTGGCCAGATGTGAACAGTGATGAGGGAAAGAAAACCTCTCCAGTGCCTCCTGTGTCACAAGTGCCCAGGGGACCTCAGCCTGGGTAGAACAGTGGCTGAGACTGGTGTGTCTGCTTGTTTTACCATATGTTAATCTTACAACCTGACGTTGAGATTAAACCTCACAGCAGCAGGACCAAGGGCTGGAGAGATCAAAGGAGCTGAAGCCAAGGGAAAGACAGTTGGGGCAGCTGTGGAAGGAGGCCAGGAAGGAAGAGGATTGAAGGCTGCTGGGCTGTCCAAGGGAGGATCAGTGGGGGTGCTGTTGGTGGAGAGAGGAGGTCCTCCTCCAGCATCCATCCTAGGGAGAGGGCCTTACTCTCCTCCTCCACTCCACTGTGGTTTGGGTCACTCATACCCTTAGAGCTCACCATCAGTCTCCCTCTCTCCGTCCCCACTCATCCCCTGCCATCCCAACAATCTCTTCTACACCTCACTCAGGGAGCAAAGCAGCCTGCAAGAGAGGGGCTGGTTCCAAGGCAGGAGTACTGTGGAGAAGGACTTTCTCTTCGTCTTGCTGTCCCCTTGTAATAGTAACTACTAACCCCATACTTATATTCCTCACAGTTGCATAAAGCCATTCAGGAAAGAGATAGATTAATGTATTTGAGCAGCGATAGCTGATTCCTGTATCTTCCGGCAAAGGATAAACAATCAATCTACTTCTCTTAGTAGGCTGTAACCTGCTGCCATTAAATATCCCCTAATTATGCAGCTGGTCCCCTCTTGCTTAGCCAAGAAAATTCAAGGTCATTGCTGCATGCTCTGGCAAACTCAAATTGGACCCCCCCAAAGAGGAGGGTGCAAATGATCTCTTTTGCAGGCCTGAGTGGGCAACAGAGTGCAACAGCCGCTACACCGATGGAGCTGAACCATGTGCTGTTTCAGCTAACAATGGTAAACCGAATTGGCTATCTTCTTCATCTGGCTGATGTTATTAAGCACTAACAAGTAATAATCCACATTTTAAACTGAGGTGCCAATGCCTTGGTAAGGCTACTTTGAGGATACCCACACCCATTCTGCTCTGACTTCACCATGAGAACCAGGTCCGAGGTAAAACACAGACAACTCCCTCAATCGAGGTAGGTTAGTCAACCTCTCTAGCCAATCCTGTTATCCACAGCGAAGGGGAAAAAACAACAGCCATCAATAGCCAGCCATTGCGAGTGTCACATGGAACAAGTCTAGAGGCCTCAACCTTTTCTTCAGGCCTTCGTTCTTATCATCAGTGCTCCTCAGTCTTGGGATCCTGACTTCAGCGAGCAGTCCCCTTTTGTGAAAATGTCCTTACCCAACAGAACACCTCTACAAAAATATCACATTCTAACAAAATAAAGGGAAAAAACCTAAGCTTTGCAGCTTTGCATTTCTAGTGCACTAATACTGGAGGTATTTTTCACGTATACTGAACAATTCATAGAAAGACTAGTGTTCATGTTATGTTAATCATTCATACATGTCAGGAGTACCTATTAAAACAATTTTTATTCTACATGTAAATAGAAATGAATTAAGATTAAATGAGTGCCTAAGTCTGAATTGAAGTTTGAATTTCATAATTGCATTTGACATTCTGAATAAAATTGAAGAGCAAGACCTAGACAGTCTTACAGTAATGTTATTTTCATGCATTTATCATTATGACAAAAGGAGACTATCTTTCCTACTGAGATAGCGCATCTTTCCTCTATTTCTGATACAGAACTTAAATGAATCCTTTCTATATAGATAATTGTTTCAGTGAGAAAACAAATGAGGGTGTTTGCACAACAGTACATCAAATCAGTGCTCGCAGGTTTGGTTTTTGTTGTTTTTAAAATGGATCCAAGGTCCATACTGACTGTAAATCATGGTATGTGCATGCATTTTCTTTACTGTCCTTTCTCAGTTAGCATGTAACGTACAAAGTAGAAAATATGCATGTGTTCTACCAAAACAGTGTTTAGACTGGCCTTCCAAGGTATACAACAGATGCTGAAGTCAGTAGCTTTAGAAAGAAATAGAACAGCGTTATAAATTGTAATAGCAGCAACTTTTGTATGATTGTTCTTTCCTATACTCAAAACGGCTAGGAAAATTTTAAAGAAAATCACATTCAAGTAGGTAGCTTTAGTACCAAATACTTTAGGTATCGGCTAAAGTCCTTATACATTAATTACTGATCCACCTACTCACATCATCATGTGAGAGGGAGTACGTTATGATTCCCTGCTTCTTCTCCCTCTGTGATCTCCTACTAAAGAGATTAACTTCACTAACGCACTGCTCGGTGTAAAAATGGAACATAACCTGCAGCCTATCCCTGTCAAAAACTCAGCTTATTTTCCACTCATTTTTGCAAGATACTTCATGGTTACAAGCCCAATTATAAAAATTCCACTTAAGATGGAAAGTCCCAATTGTTACTTTTAGTAATTTCTTTGGGGAAAAAACCTCATATTGGTAACACAGTTTCACTATCCATTTGATCATCCAGCTTAACCCACATCCACAGTAGAAGAGAGAAATTTAGTCTGGCTTCCTTTTCCTCTCCTGTTCCTCATGTATTTACTTCTTTATGGGGTGTAAAATTTGGAAAAAAAATGGCAAGACCAAAGTCTGGATACAACGCAGCCTACATATGAACATACCAAAATATACACACTCATCTTTGTATGTATTCAATTCCATAACATAAATTAATTCCAGAATAATTTTTAACATGCTGTGAGGCTATTAAATAGAATTTTTTGACCCTATTAAAAGAAGGCAAACTTGCTTAGAAGTTACTAAAATAAAAATTATAAGAAATCTGACAAGCATTTTCATACTAAAACATTTGAAATGCCTCTATTTTGAGGCTCCTAATGGGAATAAATGTTACTAAGATACTAATGAATTTTCATGACATTTTAAGACAACATAATTATTTCAAAGATGAAGATAAATTTCCCATTACTGCTTCATTCTGCTGTAATAACATGGACCACCTAGGCATTTTATCTTGCTGAAGAACTCAATCAAAATAAAGGCATTGTTCACAGATATCTAGACACATTTGTAATGAGAAATACAGACAGCATCAAGATGCAAAATCAGCTTGCCAGCAGACTGCTTGAAGAACTTGATTTCCTACAACCTATTGATCATGTTAGTTGCCAAATTTAAAACATAAACTCACCACATTTTAAGAAAATGCAGGGATAAAAGTGACCTTAATGGAAAGTTTCTCTTATAGCACCTAGGTTTGATAGCTCCTCATGACCTCAGCTCCTTGTATGCAGAGAATGGAGCAGAAAGCTTCGGCTTTCATCAAATGCGTAGCTACATACAGGCTTGATTTACCTCATTAAATACAACCTGACCATCGAACGCACACAATCACATAAAGATTGGCTTGTTCTCTGCCCTCAGTAACTGCAGATCTAAGAATTTTGCAGAAGACTTAGGTCTAACCCTTCTTGACCTTTAAGTGCTTTATCTTGCAACTTTATATTCTAGCTGGTAATAACTCGCATGGGGGAAAAAACCCTAGTAATTTTCTCTTTATGAACATTCAAGGGAAATATCCTTTTTCAGTAACTGTAAATTGTAAGACAATTTATATATAAACCTCAATTTGTTATACTCAAAAAACTGATGAACATCTCTTACTATTCACATTCAAACATCTTTCCTCAAATTCACTAAATCTCTTTTTGAAAGTGTTTTAGAATGTAATTAAGGTGTTGTAATGCACTTCCCCATCACCATAACAGTTTTTCAGGCAAGTCTGACTTTGGAGAAATGACAGATGAAATTCTTTAAAGATTATTTTGGAGAAGGCAGATTCACTTGTTGCCAGGTGAATATGTTGTGGTTGACAGATGAACATTTATATTCCATTATTAAACAAACTAGTGTCTCACCCTTACAGCCATCATCAGCTACCAAGTAATTTTTTTTAATTTGTTCAGAAAATAATACTGTGTATTACCATATCCTTAAAAAATGAGCATCTTGAAATTACCTGATCCTCAAGTCAAAGTCAGCATACTTGCTGTTTCCCACCTTTTTTTTTTTTTTTTTTTTTTTGTGGTAGCTGAACATAAACCCACATGAATGTTAAAGCAGTGATAACATTTGATCCCAGGCTATGTGACAGAATGTTCTTTTTCTGTACTACAGGTATCCCAAACTCCTGTGCTGAGTGGATAGGTAGGACTCAAGGCGCTCAGAAGGAAGGAATACTCAAAATGTATTAAATGAAGCAACAGGCAGAAGCTGGCTGGTATTATCTACATTTTCTTTTATTGCAGCCAGATTGAGGAGGGAGAATATGTGAGAGGAACAACTCTGCAGACACCAAGGTCAGTGCAGAAGGAGGGGCAGGAGTTGCTCCAGGTGCCAGAGCAGAGATTCCCCTGCAACCCATGGAGAAGACTATGGCGAGGCAGGCTGTCCCCCTGCAGCCCATGGAGGATGATGGGGAGCAGAGATTCCACCTGCAGCCCGTGGAGGACCCCACGCCGGAGCAGGTGGAAGCACCCGAAGGAGGTGGTGACCCTGTGGGAAGCCCACACTGGAGCAGGCTCCTGGCAAGACCTGTGGATCCGGGGAGAGAGTAGCCCACACTGGAGCAGGTTTGCTGGCAGGACCCTGTGGGGGACCCACGCTGGAGCAGTCTGTTCCTGAAGGTCTGCACCTCGTGGGAGGGACCTACACTGGAGCAGTTGGTGAAGAACTGCAGCCCGTGGGAAGGACTCACGTTGGAAAAGGACTCATGTTGGAAAAGTTCATGGAGGACTGTCTCCCGTGAGAGGGACTCCATGCTGGAGCAGGGGAAGAGTGTGGGAAGTCCTCCCCCTGAGGATGAAGGAACGGCAGAGACAACGTGTGATGAACTGGCCACAACCCCCATTATCCGTCCCCCTGTGCTGCTGGGGGGGAGAAGGGAGAGAAATCAGGAGTGAAGTTGAGCCTGGGAAGAAGGGAGGGGTGAGAGGAAGATGTTTTAAGATTTAGTTATATTTCTCATTACTTGACTCTGATTTGATTGGTAATAAAATAAATTAATTTCCCCAAGTTGAGTCTGTTTTGCCCATGACAGTAATTGAACAATCTCTCCCTGTCCTTATCTTGACACACAAGCTTTTCTCTCCCCTGTCTAGTTAAGGAGGGGGAGTGACAGAACGGCTTTGGTGGGCACCTGGTGTCCAGCCAGGGTCAACCCACCACAGTCTTTTACTCCCAAAATAGGACCATCTTTACTGATGTCATCATTCCTGAGAGGTTTATCCAACCTGTTTTTTAAACAAGATTCTGCAACCTCTCCAAGTTATATCAGTATTCATACCACCTAACCTAAATCCTTTCACTGCAATTTAAGTATCACATTAATTTTCTTATCCAAAGTGAGTATGTACAGCAGCCTGTATGCCTCCTTAATGCAGCTGCCTTTTGTAGATTTAAAACTGAGTTATCTTCAATTTTCTCTTCCCTAGGCCAAACATTTTCTACTCCTTCCATTAGTCTGGATATTCTGTGTGCTATGTTTGTGATCATTATTTTCTGCTGAACTTTCTCCAGTTGGTCAACATGAAGTGCACTACACAAAACTGGGCAGAGTACTCTAGATAAAACAGGATTGCGTCATGTATTTTACAGGCCATAATTCTGCTTGTACATCCCTGTGTGATGCTGGACTTTTCTACAGTGGAAAATAATGTTGATTCATGTTCAGCTTTTCATTCAGTACAATACCCAGGTCCTTTCCTAAGGAACAGCTGCATAAGGTCTTTTTTATCCTCATTCTGTTTCTGCAGCTGCATTTTTGCCCAAATGTAGTACTTCCACATGCCCATAGGGAGCCACCACTTGCTTTTCCTTCAAACCACTGCTCTAAATTGTAAGCATCACTATGAATCCTAATCCTGTCTTTCAGCATGCCTGCAGCACCGCTCAGTTTTATGTCACCTGTAGGTGTAACTGGCAAACACATATGCTGTATCAAAGTCCTTAACTAAAATACTTAACAGTAAAAAGCCAGGAAACAATCTGCATTCTGCTCTATGCCAATTTTTTTTAATTTTTTTTTTTTTTTTTACTATGAGAATGGAGCTTTATAATTTTCCAGGCAGGTCTGCAATCACACTGACAGAATCTATTCCAGGGCGTAGCTCCCCTTGTTTATCAGCTTATTAGAATGGCAGAAGAGAAAGTGTCAAAAGGTTCACTTAAGTCAAGTTACAAGACATCAACAGAGCCTCCTCTATTCACGAGGTTTGTCACCCTATCAAAGGAGGAAATTAAATTGGTTTTGACATTATTTGTTCTTGAGCCATGTCTTACTCATCATGCTGTCATCTTCTCTCGGCTTTCAAACAGCACAGCAATCACTTGTTTCAGTATTTTTTAGAGAAATTAAAGGTAACTTGACAGGGTCAACAAATCCCTTGTTCTTCCTTTCTTTATTTTTAAAGAGTAGTATTGTGTTTGCCATTCTCCACTCTGTCATCTCACCTGCACCCCATCATTTCTGAAAGGCACAGCACTGAGACCATCTCAGGAACTGGCTGAAACAAACTACAAGGAGTTCAGCCAGGCCCCTACCAATTTAAAATAATTTCACAAAATCAAGCACTTAAACATGGTTCATCTTAAGAGGTGAGACATTGTTCTCTGGATGTGCCCCACTGGTTGCAGAGAAGGTTAAGGCATTTAGCTAAAACCAGATGTTAACCTCCTAAAGCTAGATGACAGAAACCCTAAACTCCATGTCCCACTGTATTAATTTTTCACTAACTCTCTAGGTAGCCAAAGTCTGACATAACTAGCAATTTAGGTTCACTCTCTGATACAATTTACAAAAAAAATTATCTTCCTGAGCTCATTAGTTTGATGGTCTCCAAAAAAAAAAAAAACCAACCAAAAAACCCCCAAACAACCCAAAAAAAACCTCCCTCTGAAATTACTCTGATTCTTTCCCCCTTTAACATGCTTATTTTACTGTGTCTTTTTCTTATAACATCCAGTTCTTACATCAAGATACATAACTAAGTTTTGTGGCCCAAAATATTTCTCCTTTCCTTCATAGCTATCTTACTGAGTCAAGCTACAAAATCCCATACTACCATACCAATCCAGTGAATTATTCTTCCGAGCATACAGCAAGTAAATATCTTTGAAGATATAACATCTCTTTCTGTTTATTCACTTGATATCCTGTGTTAGAATACCGATTCTCGGCTTTTCAGCACTGTGATCTGATACTCTCCTCCTCCATTCCCCATGCTCAATATTCCAACTGTGAAAAACATGATATTCCCTTTTGTTTTACCTCCCACCATAGGACAATTTACTTTAGAACGCTCACTGATAGAGACATTATAAATACAGCCCTCTCTCTTCACGCAGAGATGTTCAGTTACTAGAAACACAGGGGAAAAAAAAGCAAGGATAGAAACACGGATTGAAGTGCTTGGACTCACAGTTTTTACATCTTCTTCCTTACAAATCCACCTACCACGTCACTTAGAACATACAGACCTCACTTGTTCTTAATTCTGTTTTGTTAATTTTGAACTACTTGATTCTTACATTTATATTTTCATAATGTGAATATGCTGTCACTAGCTTGTAACTGATTTTCTATCATTTTCAGAGTACTTGCTTAGTATCTGCGATGCTTGCAGCTTTCTTTAGAAAGCCAGCTAGTTAAAACTGGCTTGCAACTGGAAAAAAAAATCAAAAAAACAAAACCCGCAAAATAGTGCAGCAAATAAAACCACCAGATAAACCTCTTCCCTTATGTACTTTCTATGCATATGCTTTTGTGCTAAGGGGATGTAAAAAAGCACAAAATTACTTATACAGCAGTATTTTCTAAACATGTTTATGAAAGCTGCACAACTTACGCGATCTTGTCGCACACCGAGCACTTCCACTGCCCATCAGTTCCCACGACACGGCACTTGTTGCAAACTCGAAGTTTGCAGGTTTGGCACAGGTCTCCTCTGTCAAAGATTAAGCCCAGGTTTTTCTGACAGCGAACACACACCCTGCTATTGTCCTGTTGGCAATGATGGTTTCCACCTTTCCTTCTTACTTCCAGGAGCTCATTTTTCAATTTCCTAGAAGAAAATGAAATCTTTTAATTTGGAGATACAACTCAATGATCTGTAAGAACTTTTTAACAGATTAAGATTTAGAGCTAAAAACTAAAAGACACGAATAAGTGCAATACAGATATTCTTTTTTATATTTGGTGCATTTTTTGACACACATATGACAAAGAAGAATAAATCCATCCTCCACCTCTCAGACATGCAGCCAAGAGGTAAATCTTGTGGTAGATCAGTATAAGTAACTGCAGACAGTGGAGCAGTTCTGGACAATTGATAAACCATCTTTGCTTGTCCCTCATCAATAATTCAAGTCATGCTGAGCCCAGGTTGACAGCAGCTCAAAACTGGGACTATCCCGTACATCCACAGAAGGAAAAGAAGAAAATCTTTCCTGTAATTAGTGTGCATTTAATACTATGCCAATGTAGAGTTAGCTAGAAATGCATATGCAATTCTGCACTGGCTATTCAAAGCCTAAAACACCCCAAACCATCTAAAATAGATAGTGGTGCTATTCTGTGATGCCACGATTACAAAAAAAAGGGAGAATATCAGTTTAAATATTGTGACTTGCAGATTACCAGTTCTGCCACTGATTCTGCAAGATAAAAATATTTGCATTTAAGACCTAATTGTGAAGGCTGCAATTTCAATGGTGCACGAGTTGGGTCCTTAACAAGAAAATAACCATAAGTGAGATGTAACTACTGTATTTCCAACAGAAAAAAAAAAAAAAAAAAAGAATTTGAAGAGAAAGAGTCAGGAAGGATGACAGGAGAGGCAGTTTCCTACACCTGTCTTCCCAAACCAGGGACTCAAGCAGGACCCCATCACAACCCAAACCTCTCACTAATATCTCCTGTACCTTGACTCCTGACCTCACTCCAGAGCTTTCCCTTCCCACGCCACAGCCTCTAGCTCTTACCCCTCCCACCCCAACACACAGAACCATCTAGGTTGGAAGGGAATATTGGAGGTCACCTAGTCTAAACTCAGCCAAGGCAGGGCCAACCAGACTGGGTTGATAAAGGCACCTGTTCCAGAATCTGATTAACTGTATGTTTTTTTTAAACAAACAAACAAACAAACAAGGCTTCCTAATATCCAACCAGAATCTCCCACATTCCAACTTGTTCCCTGTGTACTTCTGAAAGGAGACTGGCTCCATTTTTTTCTATGCCATCACACTAAGAACTTGAAGACAACAATCACATCTCATCTTTGCCTTCTCTTCTGAAGGCTAAGCAAACCCAGTTCCCTCCACCTCTCCTTCTACATCATGTGCTCCAGCCCTCTGATCATCTTGATGGCCCTCCATTAAATATGCTCCAGTATGTCAGTGTCCCTCCTGTTCTGGGGAGCCTCAAACTGGAAACTGTATTCCAGATGTGGTGTCACAATTGCTCAATAGAGAGGATAATCACTGGCCTCAACTGCTAATGCAGTCCTGTACGTGGTCAAAATTGTTATGTCCTCTCAACACTTCTCAGCTGAAGCTCCATCCACTCAACCCCCAAGCTCCTCTTATCCTCTGATCTATCTCAACCTTTTCAATAAACAACCTACAGGTCCCCTGCTCTCTCCAGGCTCTTTCCTGACTTCCCGCCCTCCCAAATACCTCCTATCTTAAGCTCCTCCATTCTTTCAAACCCTTCCTGCACTCCACTCTACCCAAGAATACCTCCTCCCTAAGGCCCCAGCTCAGAAGTTGCTAAGTTCTTTCAGTTTTACACGCCTGAGTGTTGCTGTGTCCCCATTCCCTCATCCCTCCGTACACTCTCTTTCATGCACTGCAATCAGCCAAGAGCCTTCAGAGTCCGCCTATCACGAAGCACTCCAGCTCACTGAAATCACAATCTCAGCATACACATAGATGCTTTAAGGGGCATTTAAAAAACCTGGCTACCGGCTTCAGCTAAAGATTAGTAAAAAGGTGTCAGGAGGAAAAACACTTTGGGAAGATAAAACCAATAAATGATTACAGGTTGTAGCCCAGTGAAGGAGGCCAGGAACATTGTTCAGGCCAACAGGGACTAAGCTCTGACAGAATTAGGCTATTTGTGGATACATTGGCTTGCTAAAAGGTTGGATAGCATTTTGCTTCCCACTGGGATCCCATGAACAACAGCTGCTCTGCAACCACCTGGCCTGCAGATGCTCAACCTCTGACAGCTTTTGAAAAAGGGCATGTCCAGTCCCTCCAGGCAGTGACTACAAATGCTGTCAAGTATTTTTCTCTACTGGCCTCCATTCAAAAGTGATTTCTTCATTCTGCTTTAGACCCTTCTTCTCCCACATTCAATCCAAACAGCCTTTCTCTCATGCCATAGCCTTCAAAAGTCTGTCCAGGCTTCATGAGCTTTCTTGGTACTTTGCTAATTGTTCTTGCAGTTTATCAATTGCATCTTACATCCACCTACCTCCTGCAGAGATACACTTAGTTACAGGTCCATATCCGTTTTCTTCTTCTGTCAATCAGCCAGTTCCAAATGTAGACGTGTGACCTGCACTACACCTGCCAATTGCACTGCAATGTTGCCATTGTGCACAGGGAAGGCAGATGATCATGGTTTTTGCCATCCCCTCCTTGAATCTACCTCCTAAACAAGCCTGCCTTCAAAGAGGAAAAGTCAATTCATCCGCTTCTTCTGGACTGGGAACTAAAAGCACACACACACGCTCCGCTACTAGAACGCTCTCGACCACACCATTTTAAAAGAGATACCACATCTATACACTTGAATAACAAATACATCTTTCAGTGCTTATGAAGACATCTAATTACCACTGAGGTTTTGGTCACTTACATTTCACTAAATATCAAACAACGTTCACAAAATGCTTGATGATTTACCGTCTCCCCTCTCAGCAGTGTGAATTTGTGCTACATGGCCCTTTTATTTTAGCACAGCCACTTTCAGTACCAAGTGATCTCAGGGAAATTTGTTAAGACTGGATTGTGCTTTCACACATCGAGAGGTATTGCAGCACCCCCAAAGCCCTCCCTGTCACAGCTGAGTGGCTGAGTGTTGTTCTTCACCAGGAATTCTTAATCTGGCCAATACTTGGTGCTTCTGTCCCTCTCATCTGCCTTTTGTCTTTCTGGAGCTTGCTGAAGTCATCCATTTGCCTCTGCACTGCATCCACCCCATGAACAGTGCTCAGAGCTGCAATGGGGAACACTGCTGTCAGGAGGCTTCCAAGTATGGAAAGTGTGGACCCAAGAAAAAGAAGACGAAGGGTAGATCCAGTTTGCACCTGCCACCTGGACCACCACATTCAGCTGCACCCACCAATTTCTGTTGTATCTTCCTCCTGTGAGCTGACAGCAAAGGACACACTGTCCAACTGGACCCCTGGGACTGCTCCTTGCTTCCCTGTGGCCTCTTTGGCATCTCAGCCACTTCACTCTTGCTACTCACTTCTCATAAGTCAGCTCAACCAGTTGGTCTAACTTACTGGTGCAAAAGTGACAGCTATGATTTACGTCCAAGTACAACAAGCAAACACTAAGAGATTCAGCTTTACTCAGCTTCCCCACACAAAACTCCCTGTACTAAGTTTGTACATGGCAAGGTTTGGGCAGTTGGGGGTCTTCAGGGGTAGCCTCTGTGAGAAGAAACCAGGGGTTGTGCCTTTACAGGCAGAGCTGGTTCCAGCTCGCTCCAAAACAGGCCCACCACTGGCCAAAGCTGAGCCCATCAACTATACCGGTGGCGCTTCTGTGATAACGTATTTAAGAAAAGGGTAAAATGCTGCACAGCAGCTGTGACAGAGGAGTGAGGAAAACGTGAAAGAGCCCTGCAGACACCAAGACAGTGAAGAAGCAGGAAGAGGAGGTGCTCCAGTTGCCAGAGCAGAGATGGCCGTACAGTCCACAGAGGAGATCATGGTAAAGCAGGTTATCTTCCTGCAGTCCGTGGAGAACCATGTCAGAGCAGATATCCACCCTACAGCCTGTGGAGAACCCCATGCTGGAGCAGGTGAGCATGCCCTGAAGGAAGCTGCAGTCTGTGGAGAGCTCCTGCTGGAGCAGGCTCCTGGCAAGAACCGCATCCCATGCGGGACACACACAGGAGCAGTCTGTTCCTGAAGGACTATACCCCTGTGGACAGGACCTATGCTGGAACAGAGGAAAAGTGTGAGGAGGAAGGAGCAGCAGAGAAAAAAACCTTATGAACTGACTGCAATCCTCATTCCCCATCCCCTTGCACCACTTGGGGCAGGGGAGGAGATAGAAGAATAAGGAACAAAGGAGTGAAGTTGAGCCTGGGAAGAAGGGAGGGGTTGAGGGGAAGGTGTTTTCAGTTTTGTCCTTCTTTCTCTGTATCCTATGTTTTGGATTATTTTTTTTAATTTGGCAATAATTTAAATTAATTTTCCCCAAGTCAAGTCTGGTTTGCCTGTGGTAAGCAATCTCCCTGTCATTATCTTGATCCATGAGTTTTTTCATCTTATTTTCTCCCCCTGTCCTGGTCAGGGGGCAAGTGAGAGAGCAGCTTGGTGGGTGTCTGGCAGCCAGCCAAGGTCAACCCACCACAGCCTCCTTTCCCCCTTCCTGTCTGCTTGCTTGTGCCGAGTCTCCTTCAGCAGCAAAAGCAGCTTACTGGGGAGACAACTTAGGCTCTGGAGAAGGTGGCAAATCAGCCTTAAACACACTGCACACAAGGTATTCTCTTGTTGTTTACCCACCTCCTACCAGAGTTTCATCTGGTCACCAACCCACAGTAATGGCAAATTAGGCATTTGAAAACCATGGAATTTTTGAATTCCTTCAAAATCCTCTCCCTTCAGATTCATATGATTGATTCAACACTAAAATTATACTCAAAATTTAAAAAAATGCATGCAGTTCCTTCTGTATGTTCAAGCTTCTCTTCGCAATCACAAGGGACAGGCTTTCCTCTTCCCTCCACTGATTCACAATGAAACCTAAGAGAACTCAGATGCTGTGGGCGAAGAAAAACACAACAAAGTCTGAGCGCTTCTGACAGTAGGGCAGAAGC